TAAACTTTGTTAACTGATTTCCATTTAGTAATCCAGTTCAGAGGGTTCTGAAGGGGGAGGGGGTGTCTAGATCTCATTTCCTGGTTCACACTTTCTCTAAATCACAATTCTGCGTTCAATTGCAGTGGCGGACACTTGACAATGTAAAAATTTATTCGCTAAGTGAGTGAAATTTATTCGCTGCGCACGCTTTTGTTCTTGTTAACTTGTTCAAATAAAATTGGAATGTTAATTGCATTATCCGTTGTTTTTGAGCATAATAGTTTAATACGCATTCAAATATTATTGTGCAGCAGAAAATGTCGCCGCTAAATATTAACAGTATAAGCTTCAAAAACAACAAAAAATCGACAATGACATTTAAAGAAGTGCCTGTTGCAAAACGTTGACCCCCTGCAGTATCCGTCAAAAAGAATGTATAAAATGCGTATGTTGTGACATGTACAGTACAGAAACATATATTATTATATTGTTTGGTATATTGCTTACTTTTTCAGCTTAAGTTTTATCAAATATAGTTATTATTTAATATGACAGTTGCGTTATATGAGTGTGATTTGTGTTATTTGGTACAAGATTTTTACAGTCTTTCAAAATTATTGTGTGTGTGTGCATGTGTGTGTGTGTGGGGGGGGGGTTGCTCGGGCCTCCCCCCCCCCCAGTGTCCGCCACTGCAATTGCCCCCTTTGAAACTGGTTTTGCCGAGAAAAAGTTGTATGACTAACTTACAATAGCAGAAAAATGATCTCATGGAGCCACAAGTCGGTCAAATTCAGTTTTCCTGGACTTTTTTAGACAAATTCTCTATTAAGTTAAAAATTGCTTTGTAGCTGTTCTTAAAGTTATTTCACTCTAGCATGTCCAACTACAACTGTCTTTATAATGATATTTTTTTTTTTTCGCAGAGTAAGGCCAACGCCTGACGCACTGATTATGCAAAAAAAGTCCTCGTTTGGTTGATACTAAAAAGTTCCTCCTTTCTTTTAACGTTCGTATTTCCTGTTATTGAAACCAGTTTATTATATATTTTATGATTATAACATTATTAACATGCATATAAATTTATATATTAAGAAGATATATTCTAAACTAAATCTAAGCTACTCATTTACAACTGGGTATTATACATGGTCTATCAAGTGGGCCGGTACGAGAGAAAGGCAGGCAACAGCAATTTGTGATTGACTGCCTGCCACGGAAACTAGCCGGTGCCGAGAAGGAGGTACGTCGAAAAACTCGTCAAATTCGTATAAGTTCACAAGGGGTCACTAACATTAGTGTACAAGGAATTCGGAAGCGCGCTCAATTTTTGCACGACTCATTTATGCGTATTAGTGCACCGTTTATTACCCGTTCGTACAAAAATTCGTGACCATGAATTCTGAAATATCATGGTCAATTAAGGCGAAACAGCCAACAAAAACACCGGTCAAACCGCCTTGATATGCAGTTATAGAAACTACCACTCAAAATACTTATGCAATTCAAATTTTTGTTATGACTGATAAATGAGAAATAATTAAAAATTTGGTTATGCAAAATTTCAGTTTTCCATGACTTTCGGTGATGCAGGCCGCAGATTTCATTGAAATTCCATGACTTTGCAGGTTTCCATTCCAATACTGTAATGTCAACATAAATTTGGCTTGTTTGGCGGCACTTTTACTACTCTTTCCTCAATCAGCCAAGTTCGCTGCATAAATAGGTTCAAAATCAAATCAGGCACGAGTCAAATTTATGTTGGCAATATAGTTGACCGTACTAAATAAATTCCGAAAGGTTAAAAGAAATATATATCCTCATTTTATTTTATGATTCACAACGTATAAGTCCAGTGGCACGAGGTCATTGCAAATGGAACGAGGCCATGCTGTCGATCAAAAGATTAAAACTGCTTGAAAACTAAGTACTATATACATATACATGCAGTAATAAATATGTATATAGTATGCAATTGTGGTGGCGGCGGATTCGTACTAAGGTACTGGTCAAAAATGTACAAAATTTCTAAGTTATTTAATTTGTAAGTTATAGAAATATACATATTTTCCTCTTGATATTTTGCAAAATGGAGCCCAAACTAGATATTCAAAACGTTTCCTCGCCGACTTAATTTGTCCAAAAAACATAAAAATTTTAGACAAATTTGAGTATGAAAAGCGAGATTAAAAAATTGATGACACTAACGACACGGAGACTAGGGTAATGAGGATGGCAATGTGCAGCGAACGTTAGCACTACATATATGGGATTAACACATATTCTTCTTATTCCTGATGTTCGTGTGAGGTGATTTTGGTCAAGTGTACGGTTGATATGAGAACATTCTGCGCGGGAAATTATGAATAATTATTAAGATAACGAGCTTTTATCCTTGCATTTTTCGTTTGTTTTTTTTTTATCTCAAATTTCGGTGTTATCTTATTATACAATACGCTGCCTGGTTCATATTTGAACTACCTAAAACACTTCGATGTTCCAACCTCCTAAAAAGGGCCATGCATACCTTGAAACGATGCAGTGTTTTTACCTTTTCCAGGTATAGTTCAGCTAACTATGGCAACTGCACATTTTTGTGACTTTAGCACAAATTACGAAACGTGGACAAGATAGCATTGCCCAACAAGGTATACTGGTCTAGACGCTGCTATGGCCAAGCTTCCAAAAAAAGAAGCAACGAAGATGAAGTCCTCAGACAGAAACCATTGCTATATGCTTTACTGCATATTTAAAGCCTTTGTGTAATAAGCAATCATGGCTTACGAATTCAAAGAATAGAAACACGTACTTATACAACCCTGCCACTTTCGACCCACTGACGAAGCGCTCAAAAGGTCCTGGCTTGTAAAAAATTCTCGGATTAGCGTATCGTTAAGACAATGACTCGGCAAAAAGTAAATCGTAATTGAATTGTGCACCACGTTGTTGCAAAGCCAATAAAATATATATACAATTGAAGCACACCATTATAAACTTTTCAATTACCGCTTTCCACTGTATTTTTCGTATAATTTGTCCCTTTCATTAAATACACGCTAATACTACAATATACTTAAAATAGCGAAATATATAACACACCTGCAAAGCAACGTTGAATGACTTGGGTGAAACTGAATCTTGTGCAGTTATTGTGCCCAGCTTACACGACAGATATTTTCGGTGCTTCCTTGGAGTCCTGAGTGAATATACTTTATAATATTAATACATTATATTAAAACACACCTATGTCACATGACCAGTTGTTGCAATACGATCCGAGATGTTAACATTGTGCCGGCAAGTTAGCCTGAATCGGGTTGAATTTTAAACGTAATGTATTCTAGTTCATCAGTTGGTGAAGATGTTTACAGCAGGTCAAGACGCCAAATCTGATTGCATTAGATATAGACATCGGAAATAGGAACAACGAAGGGCGGGGGGATTACGACCACGAGTAGAATATTCGAATAATATTTCCTGTAATATAAATGATAGCCTTCGGAAATGTCTAGAGATCGAGACGCAAATGTGATTGTATTACATCCGGTAATTACGCTGATAAATATGACCGTTTCCCCCCCGTCAAAATCCAATAATAGTTATAAATCAAACAACAATGTCGAGCAACACTTGCTCGAACCGAGCGGACTGTTGTGTAAATCAACCATTGAAATCCATTGCCAAATCGACTGTTAGTTGAATCGAATATCAAATAGCCAAATACATCGAACTTTTGCCGCACTTGCGAATCAAAATCAACATATTCGAAAGGAACATACACGACTCAAAACGAACAACATGCATATGCTATTTGTTGCACTAAAATAGTAAAAATACCATCTTTTGATTCAGCGTTTCAAGACCTTTAGACTCAAAATATGGAATAACTGCCACGCCACATATATAGTGTGGAAATTGGTGAAATGAATCAGCTACACTGCACACAAGCCCGTTTTAAAATGAGCTATAGGTATTAAACTGTTATCATTGTTTGTTCAGATGTTTGTTTGATTTATGTCTCGATCAATTCCATGCCTGTCCGGTATTATATGCATGTAATAGCTCTTTTCCTTCATTCCTTCTTCTTTACTTACTTTTATAAATAATAATGTTCTAGTTTTGATTGTTTCGTTGAATGAAATGGGAATGAAGCTTTTGTGATTCATTTTTTTAGAGCACGTAACAATATTCATCCATCGCCGCCTTAACTCCTCCCACCACCATTGATCCTGATACCATCGTCACAACTCAACGAAACGATAAAGAACTTAATGATCCGTCCTCCTCACCTTTTGACTTCCAAGATCATCCCCTACCCACCTCAAACCACACCATTACCTGCGACATTTCCACCTGTAAACAAAGACCTTTCGTTCCTAAGGCATTTCGTCGCTCCATTTTTAATTCACTTCACAACCTTACCCAAACTGATCGATATGTTTGGCCCAACATCAATCGGTGAATGTAAAAGGCGGAATGGCATTTCGCGACATTTTTTACGTGACAATTTTTGCGCCATAATCTTATGGCAGCATTTCTGAATGATTTCTCCACGTTTTCAGTACACCCTTTCGATAATTACGTCATGAATACTTTTTTGGCGATAATTACGTCGTGATAAATACTTTTTTGAAAAAACGCAAGGTGATTTGCTGACGATTCGAGAGTCGAAGCTTCCAGGCCAAATACGTAATTATCGAAAGGGTGTATTTTTCGAACGCTATAAAATCCATAATTTTCGGAACTAAAAACTCAGGCAACAGGGACCAGTGGATGTATATAAGTTTTACAATAAAGGCCAACGTTCTACAATAAAGGCCAACGTTCTACAATAAAGCCTTATCTACTACACAAAAGGATTTATTATTATTTCGAGCAAAAACTGTTAGTAATAGCGTGTTCAGAGTGCTTTATCACCATGGCGATTGGATATTAAATATTCATATAATCACGAGATAAGGTACCAATCTTAGCCAACACAACACAACACAACAGAATATGAATTATCATTGACAATGCGTCTATGGCAAAATGATTTGAAGATCTCCAGCCAGCTTCATTTTGTTTGCCTCACTCAGCACATTCTGCACCTCTGAATAATCAACCATGGAAGGTTGAAAATATGGATGTCTCTTCATTACACAAGTTAGTATCGCATGATAATAGTGTGCCCTCTCTTTACGTGCAGTGCAAGCCACAGGTTGGTATGGATCACCAGTTGGATATCTTTCCATGTGTTTGAGTATCAAGTTCTCTGGATGTTTTGCATCACCGGTAAAAAATGTCGCGAAATTTACATCATTTTTCCTTCCGCAATCCATTCCGCAGGCCATTCCGCAATGCCATTCCGCTTTTTACATTCACCGATTATCGAAAGGATGTGGAGAAATCACTCAGAAAGGCTGCCATCTGGATGTTTTGCATCACCAGTAAAAAATGTCGCGAAATTTACATCATTTTTCGTTCCGCAATCCATTCCACAGCCATTCCGCAATGCCATTCCGCCTTTTACATTCACCGGTTCCCGAAGGCCGCGGAAGCATTTCGAAAGTGGAGGGACATTGGCCAAAAGGGGCACTTTTGTATATGACCAAAATCAAACGATTTTATGTCGTTCATGAGCCGAACAAAAATTTTTGAAAATACATGGAGTCTCTATAAACGTCGGAAATGGCCTTTACAGAGTCTGAACTACAACAAAAAGGGCACTTTCTTTCCAGCAAAAGACGGCGTTCATTCAAGAAATACTTTTTTCACACTTTAAATGGAGCCCAGAAAAAAGGGCACTTTTTTCACTTTTAAAAAAGTGTGGGGGGGGGG